TGATTAATTTTTGGATTCTCCAAGGAAAGTATTGCACGCTGGACAGTAATGCTTGTGGACTAGACAAGAATCCATGCAATAAGGACACGGTGCACAACAACAGCATCTGCGAAAGAACGTCAGATTTAATCGGACCTTATTTTTTCGATAAGATTCTCATATACTATATTTCAAAATCTTACCCGAATAAACAGAGGACTAACGCAATTAGATGTGTCTTCGTGTTCGCTTCCGATATTACGCGCGTACTTATGTCAGCATGGCAATGTGGACAGGTCATACGTTGACTTTCATTGCTGAAGGCCGTCCCTGTTACGATTGTATGTACCGTATCTGTGGCCACATTAGACGCGTTAAACTTCAAAAGTATTTATTTTATTGTTAGATGATTAGATATGCATATGCACAAATATTGTACAAACCCGTTTTTTTAATATAATTTTTATTAATTATAAGATTTCATAATTTTACGTATTTGTGGCTACACATTAAAGTAGTATTAATCTTGAATAATTAGGTGTGCACAAATATATTGTATGTACGAATTATTGTTCGTATGCATTTCTATAATATAATTATTACTTAAAATTCTCTTTTCGAAATTTTTACACTTACGTTGTGGTAGCGGCGTTGGCTGCGGTTGTGGCTGCAGGCTAGGATATGGTGACGTGTAACTTGGTGGTTGCTCCATTTTTTCCATTGCAATTGTGTACTCTTTCGTTATTATCTAATTGCAAAAAAATACAAGATAAATTATAATTTAATGTAACGTACGTTTAAGGTATTCCTTTCACGGAGAAGCGTATTTTGTAGGCGCTTAAGCAGGGCCTCAGCAAACTCTTGTATATTGCATTAAACTTATATAAAATTAAGTTATAATTGATTATTATGTTTAATTATAAGAAAAAAGTGAAAATATTATGTGTATTTAGAAATTTTTCACTTTTCGGTAAATTTTACTGTCAGAACAATATAGCAACGCTGCGCTTTTCACGGCGCCCATTGTAAAATGTGAAGTTGATAACAAAAGTGTCAATGTAAGTGTCAATTTCATTAAGGAGGTTCGATGGCTTCATCGGAGGGAGTAGTGGGACGCGGGGGTTCTGGAAACAGCGCACTAGCGTTTGAAGTAGTGGGAATGAAGGGGATTGCTCTGATTGGTCGCCGCGTGTATAATGCGTGCTGCTGTTCACGTCGTTGACGACCATGACAGTCTAGCAGACGAAAAATCAAGCAATTTATGCTTTAATAATTAATTTTTCTACGAAAAATGCGGTAACCTTCCCCTTTCTTTCGCTCATTTATTTGTAAGTTATTAAGTTACATATGCAAATTTCTTTTTCTTTATCATTTGCATTTTTTCTTGCACTTATTTCATTCTGAAGGTATATGCAATATGTCATTTCTCATAAAAACCTATGTTAAAAATGCAGCCAGTTTCATGAAATTTTAATATGTTGTTCTGGAATGCAAAATAGAATTATGTGAATTTTTGGGGAATTTTTCACCGTCCCGTTTTGAAAAAAATCTAATCCAAAAATTGTACTTTTTAAATTTTTGGAGTAGATTTTTTTCAAAACGGGACGGTGAAAAATTCCTAATAAATTCACATAATTCTATTTTGCATTCCAGAACAACATATTAAAATTTTATGAAACTCTCTACATTTTGTTGTAGCCATCGAACCTCCTTAATCAAAGAATATTGTGACATTTTCTTTTTATCAAAGAGAGATTTTATAATAATAATGCGAGTGATAAGAAACATAAAGTGAGGAGTAATGTGGGCAAAAATAAGGGACAATTTGTGAAAATAAAAGTTGATAATAAACCGTATGTTATGAATGAAGTGACACATGAGCGCACAGCTTGCAGCGCCAGCGTTGCCAAATAATTCCTTGAAAGTCGCCATCAAAAATATTCATCTATAAACCACATTTCAAGTCAACTTTTAACATAAATATTTTGTTCAAATATTCGGTGATTCTGTATTTTTATCGGCACTTTTGAAAGTACAGAGTTTAGCAAATATGTAGCGCAGTTAATATTTAATATCTTAAATCTTAAGATAAACAAATTATTACATTGAAATGTAGAAAATAGACTTTTTCGATAACGTCACATATAAAATATCGAATTTTCAAAATCATAATTCTTCTTTATATGTTCGGTAATGTGGTTTAATTTTTTTCTGGCGTAAAGATATGCATTTTAACTTTCTCGTACCAAAAAATCAGTTAATTCTTAAGACTTTGATGTCATGAAAGGAATACCTTAATCATTTGTTTGCACTCTCCGTCCGTTCTTCGTACGTAAAATCTATAGCATTATTTACGCTTATATTAACGTAAGTCGTCGCAAGTTTCACACAAACACAATTGCCATTATATATGTATTAATTTTACAATCTTAAATTTTCATCATATTACTAAAACATTTTATCGCAATATATAAGATTGTAATGTTGTCGAGGAATGAAGTTAAAAGGAAATAACAATAAGAGATTAAATCGAATAATAAATAGAACACTGGGGTATAGATTATAGTGTCAACTGCATAAATAAATTCTGATTAATTAAGCTTGTGTTGCGGAGACTGTCGACATAATTGGCGATTGCCAATAGAAACCGAGCGATATCTGTCATTCCATAATCATTTAAATTAAATGTATTATTTAAATAGTTGCGAAATGACAGATTTTGCTCGATTCTTGCAGTCACTCTGTCATCATATTCTATGCAGCTTCCGTTATATTTCTGCTAATGTTTGGCTGATGAAATTTGTAGACGGCACTCTGCAAAATATCTATTTTTAACAAATTTAGGTGCCTAACAAACAGAAACGTTTGATATCTTGTTCCCCGAAAATTCCCAAAAGCTTCGGAGTATATCCGCTGATAAAGAGTTATCTATGTTACGTATGTTTTTGCTCACACACACATAATCTTTACCATATCGTCATACATGTGTGAGAGCACAGAGAGAAAGAGAGAGAGCTTTATCACCATTCGCAGAAAATATGACGTAATACTTCTCCGAATAACTAACCATAAACTTCGTAATCTTATAATTTCTTGGAAAGTTTTTAATTCGATATCAGTGGAAAAATAAAAAAAAATGAAAAATGTATTGATCGCTGCTGGTAAAGAAATATTTGCTTTATTATTCCCTAATTCTTTTTCGGGAACCCACTATAATTTAAATACGTCTAAATATGTCATTATATATTGAAACCTATGTTAGAACTTGTTTATTAGATCGTTACACGCGCGGAACGCAACTCAATTGCGGATCGAGTTACGAGTAATATATCGTATAATGTGATAAGCTATCGAATTCTCTAAAGAAAAATCTGAATGTATACGGAAGATTTGACGCCACATGCCATAAATATGACTCATATGTCACATCAGTTTCAATGTCATAGCAAGTAAAATTGCGTCGAGAATAATTCAACTACATCATCGTACTGAATTCATTTTTATGAAATTGAGCATTTACAGTATCACAATAGAATAAGTGTTTTTATGAAAAGATAATACATGCAGTATTTCTTATATTAAATTTCTGTTAAAATACTACGTGAATGGGATAAAAATAGAAACGTGGAAAAATTAAAAAATTAAAAGAAATCTGCTTAGAAGAGCTTGTTGTATGAATAATACGTTAAAATGTAAATAATGACTTTAATAAAGGAACATATGATTAAAAGGAAATTTGTTCATAACATATGAATAATACATACTGAGAATGTGAGGATAAATTTAACGCTAGAATCATTTACGACGTCCAGTCTCAAATTGTTAACAAGATAACGAAAGAAGAGTTTTTTGTGGCAAATCGTGATAGGCGACAGAAAATGGGTTTACTACAATAATTCTAAATGTAAAAAATCGTGCATGGGCGAATCCTGAGCAACCGATAACCTCGACATCAAAACGCGACGTACACGGCAACTAGATACAGAGAAGTTACTTTTCTGTATCTGATAGGATAAACATGGAGTACACTGCGACGATTATGAGTGGTGAACTTCTTGGAAGAAATCCATCCGATAGGCTGGGTCAAACTGTCACAGCGGAACGCTACGTATATCAATTAAACCGTTTTAATCAGACACTTCGAGAGAAATGTTCGGCATGTCCTCAAAACGACGCAAAGTTATTTTGCTTCAAGATAACGCGAGGCCCCATATTACTAATTAAATAAACGCTGTATATCTCGAATAGAAAGTCCTTTCCACACAATCCAGTGATCCAGTGTACTCTCCCCCCCCCTTCAATATATATTTTGGAAATGAAGCAGAAAGCATAGAAAATGCGTCGACGACATTATTGGGTTAAAAGAAGAGACATTCTTTCACTGTGGCATATATGTTGCCTGATAGAAAGCAAAAGGCGATGGATGTAAACGTTTATTAAACCGACCATATATCTTTTGCATTAATAAAAGAATTGTAAACTCGCGGCACAATAACTTATATTTCTGTTTTATATTTTTGCATTCTTTTTCTTTCTTTTCTATTTTCTGTCTCTTTCCTTGGTCGCATTTCATGAAGTCTAAGTAATATTAATTAGATCGTGAGAGTTGTACGAAATAAATTATTCTTACCCTATTTTCCTCCCTTCCCCTTCTCTCTCATCTGAATTTATATTAATTACTTTTTATTAAAATATTAATTACAATATATTTATACTAGCAAAATTAATAACAATAAATAAATATGTAAGAGTTTCTTGAATAAAATTAAATAACATTAACAAATTTGACAATAAAAGCCAGGTAATTAATATTATTTGATAAAATTATAAATAACTTTTTACGTATGCAAAATTAAAACTTATATTAGTTAAAATTATCTAACAGATAATATTGGAACTTTATTTTATTTTATTTTATTCAATTTCCGCTTTGATTAAAAATGCCTGTAAGAAAATGAAAATTTCTATATTTTGGAACTACATAATTTTAAATCATAATTGCTGGTTTTCTAGTGTTTTTCAGACATAATTTGACAAATGTAGAAATAAAATAAATCTTTGTTAAAAACAATTATTTATTCTTAATTGAAGCAATTAAAAAGTAAATAATTTGCATCACACGTGAAATATTCCTTTAATATTAATGATTCTAAGTGTTTTACTTTTAATCGCAGTGGCGAATCTTAACACGTCCGCTCTATCGTGCGTCATATATGTGTGACGCATCGATTTTCAAGAGAGAATCGTACATGTGTAACACTGTATGTGACATATGTTTAGGTGCCTGTTATTTAGTATACGTGTGCGTAAGTGAAAATGTACAGTGCACATGCTGTGGATAATCCGTAAAAATAAAAAAAAGTGTTAATTTCGAGACTTACAATAACTTTACTCCAAAATCAACGTCTTGGTACGTCTGTCTTTCAAACACGAGTAATTCCTTAACGATAAATTCTGCTAAAACTTTTTTTTCTGTTGCAAGAAGCGTAACTAGGTAGCTGATTGCTTGCGAATTCGTCTGGCACTGATCTATTAATAGGTAAGCGTACCTGTTGCGTCAGAGAACTCTCATTTGAAAACGTTTGTTGGAGAACGCTCGAATACTCGCGGCGCGCACCAAAATCGCACTGGTGGAGTTATCAACGTCGAATGCGGTACATGTGAACTATATACGCTGATCCTATATAGCGGTTTCTCTGTTCAATTCGAGGCAAGATGCGGGTTTCGCGTGGATAGGAGATTGTATTGGCAAATAAACAGACGTCACGGAGTCGCCACGATATCACTGATCCGGAAACGGGATCAAACCATGCATCGAGGAAAGATTAAGATACCTATATTACTTCAAACTGCTCTTTCAAATAAAAAACTGAGAAACAATGCTTAATATATATTTAGATATACACTACTAAAAAAAAAGTAGGGAACATTTTTCATATCCTAAAAATTGGGCTATTTTCAAACTGCCGAAACTCGGCGAAAAATGATCGTAGACAAAAAATTAAAAAAGCTTTATAAAGCTTGAAGTTTCAACTGTAGCGCGCTATTGGTGGTCTTTTAATATTTTTTTATCTTCCTTGTTCCTTGTTCTGTGCTTTAAAAAAAGAACACATCGTTTTATTCCTTAAAATTACGTATTTTTTACACTCTGCAGCTCGATAGAAAAAATTCTCTCGGAAAATTCGACTCAAGTTCTGTAAACTACAACATTTTGCCTACAAAACGCTTTTTTCTTAATTTTTCTACAATTTTTTTTTTTTAGTTACACAATTTTAAAAAACTAGGTACTGGTAGCGCGTTAAAGTTGAAACTTCAAGCTTCATAATGCTTTTTTAATTTTTTTTCTCTACAATGATTTTTTACCGAGTTTCAGCGGTTTGAAAATAGCTCAATTTTTAGAAAAATAAAAATGCTCTTTTTTTTTTGGTAGTAACTATTTACGAATTTAAATATGGTCAACCCATTCTTCTTTCCTACACTATAATTGACATATTTTATATATCGTAAAAAGAAAAAAACTTAAAAGATAAAGATGTCTGAAAAGTGTTGCTTAAAAAGCAATGTAAAATCGATTACCGAAAACAAACTTTTGTTAACTTAATCGATTCAATGGACAGAATTATCTACATCAACAACAAGATTTCTAACTCTATATGATTCATCGTTGTTAAACTAGATTTTTTTCTCCATGTGTCAAACAATAAATTAATATCTACAGTCTTATTAGGCATCCTTATAATCATTATGTTATACTGAATCTAATACCAGAAAAAAGTTCTATTGTTTAAACGTTGTTTACTAGAGTGTTCATTATTATAAACGCGTTTATATGTTTATTTTTTATTTCTCTCATAAATAAAAGTTATTTTCAAAAAACTTTTAATAGGATATGCCTAATAATTTTGGCCAAGGCTGTATGTTAATTCTATTTTAACAAAATAATAAACGTATTATTTAATAAATTAATCATTGATTAAATTAATCATAATTTGATCAAAGTGTTAATTATTGAACATAAGACGTCTTTTGGCCATTTTTTAGTAAGACATCGCTTTTGAACAAGTGTGCTGTATGGAAAGTGTTAATTCGTGGATTTTGCGGATTATAAAAATGCGGTATCATGTCATATTTTTACTTACGGACATAGCGATGAGTAATTCTTCGCCTGTAAGCTTTACATTTCCAGGTAGATAACACAATTACGATAACAGATATTTATGATAAGATGTTACATCCTTTTTTACTAAAAATAAAGTGATTTTTATTATTATTCTAAGAGAACTGATAAAGATAGATAATAAATGGCAGATAACAATAATACATAATGTCGATAATAAAATAAGAATAAATTACTCTTAAATACCAATTTAGAAAATTGTAACTTTAACAGATATCTACAGTCGTTAATTTTCAGTTTTTAATTCAGAACATTATTATAATTGCATATTCTTATTCATATACAGATCGTTATTCCACTACCTGGAGTAAAATTTCACAAATATTTCATAAATTTATGTTTGAAAGATTTGTCATTATTTCGTAGATTGTAAATAATTTTTATTTTATTTTTTCTAAGAGAATTTATGGTCAATTAATCTCTCCATCATAGATATAGTATATTTTATTATTTAGTTTAAATTTATTTTTAATTGCATTTGTTTCGGATCAATAACAATCCCACAATGCTCTTGTTAATTTTTTTATTATTATTGAAATTTGTTAATTTTTAGGAAATTCTTTAATTTAAAGAACATTTAGAAAATATTTAACAAACGTTCTTTATCATGTAGAGGAGGCCGGGGCTAAGCCGACACTATTTTTTTAAAGACAATTTTTAGTATTTAATTAAAATTTTTAAGCAAATTTAATGATATATATTTAAAGAGTGTTTCTTCAGGTACAAAATTGATTCAGGAAGTTTTGCTGTACGTCGGTTTGTTTTGCCACCAGGAAAGGAAAAGTGACACGAAAAAAAATTTTCGAATTGAAAAATGACGGGGCGAACTCGACACCCCGCCGGGGCAAACTCAACACTTTGTTTGATC